GTCCTACCTGCAGCCTGCTCCAGCACGGGCTTCCCCCAGGGTCACGGCCTCCTTCGGGCATCCACCTGCTCCGGCATGGGGTCCTTCACAGGCTGCAGGTGGAGATCTGCTCCAGCATGGAGCTCCATGGGGTGCAGGGGGACAGCCTGCCTCACCATGGGCTTCACCATGGCCTGCACGGGCACCATATCTGCTCTGGGGCCTAGAGCACCTCCTCCCTCTTCACTGACTTTGGTGTCTCCATAGTTGTTTCTCTCACATATTCTCACTTCTCTCTCCCAGCTCCTGTTGCGCAGCATTTTTTACCCCTTCTTAAATATGTTATCACAGAGGCACTATCAACATCACTGATTGGCTCAGTCTTGGCCAGCAGTGAGTCTGTCTTGGACCTGGCTCTGTTAGACATGGGGGCAGCTTCTGGCATCTTCTCACAGAAGGCACCTCTGCAGGCCCTCTGCTACCAAAACCTTGCCACGCAGAGCCAATACTCTGTGCCAGGGGACTACAAAGTAAACCCCTGGGGGTTACCACGGCAGGAGGTGAAGGCCATCATGGGCCAGGCTCCACGTACATCGCCTGGGGTGTAAGGGTGCTTCTGTAGCCAGGAGGAATGACTTTACACCCACGCAAATTCCCTTGGCACTCACAGCTGCCAGCCAGAGCACCCCAGCCCTCTGCCAGCCACACCATTTCCCCTTGCGGAACACACTTGGCCAGGCCCTCCCCAAAACCTCAGCACCAGCCTCATTGGCTACTGGGGCCGCCCCATGACATTCGCACCACCAGCGCTGCCCAGGCAGAGCATCCCTGGAAAGAAGTGTGCTGTCACGGCTCCTGCGGCTCCTTCATCCTCCTGCTACACTTGCTCCTGCACACCATGCAGCCCCCTCGCCTTCTTCTCCTCCTCTTCCTTCTCCTCCTCCTCCCTGGGACATGGGCAGATCCAGAGGGTAAGTGGGAGCCCTGGCTCCCCCCACCTGCTCCCATCCCTGCACTGCAGGACCCCACAGAGGTGACAAGGGGTGGGCACAGACAGGCCGCTGTCCCCATCACCAAGGGGCCACCCACACCCCACAGCACCCAAGGGTGCCCCATCCCTGCCCACCTCAGGGTTCCCTGCCCCACGCCATCCTGCCCAGCCCAGCACCACCGGCGCTGGGGCTCAGACACTTGAGCAGCCAAGGTACAAGGGGTCCCTCAGACACGCCTGGGGTGCTGGGGTGCCCCCCAAGACACTTCCCTCCTGCAGGGAGCCTGTGGGCAGCAGTCCTGTCAGTCCCTCATGGCACAACCACCCTGCACTGGGTTCCAACCCTTCGAGCAGGTCCTGGGCACTGCCCTCAGCCTGTGGGATCATTTTGCTTGCAGTTGAAGGGTTCCTGGATCCTCCGCATTCTCCCCCTGTGAAACAATGCTCGAAGGTTCTTCCTGCAGCTACGACCCTTCACCTGCATCCCCAGCCTGTGTTTCCCATTCTGGTGGCAGGCGCTCACCGCATCCTGGCCAGGGGGGCACCCACGGCTCCAAAACAGGCTTCACTCTGCCCTGCTTTTACTACCGGAGACTCATTCAGTGCTGCAGCATCAAACTCGGTCTCCTGCCTCCTGTGAGGGTTTGGTCTTGAGCGCTGCCTGGGAGCCCCTAAACATGAGAGGTGTCCTGCCATAAATGCCTCTCCCTCCCAGCTACCAAAAGGTCACATTGGGGCAGTGGATGGCTAAAAAAGTGAAATAAAGAGGAGAAGCAGGGAGAGGCTCAGAGAGGCCATAGAAGGAAACTGCAAACTGAGTGAAACCAGGGGATTTCCCCCACCCTGTCCGCCTGCGTCATCTCACCCTGCCTGTCCCCAGGGACACTGCAAGCAACCCTTCCTCCTGGGGCTGCCCACCAGCACTGGAGCTGGCAGTCCCCTGACCTCCTCCTTCATCCTTGTGCACGCCAATGCCACTTCCTCTCCCCCCTCTCCCCATAGGCTCTTGTAAACTCCACCTTTTCCAAACCCTCGTCTTCCACAACACCAGCTTTGTGGACATTTCATCCTGGGCCACCATGGAGGACATTGTCTTTGCTACCCTGCAGAAATACACCTGGAACATCCTCTACCTCCACCCATGGGTCTACCCAGCCCTGCCTGCAGCAGAGTGGAAGAACCTGCAAAACCTGTTCAGGTACTACACGCAGAACTTCATCCTGTCCCTGTCCAGTGATGCCAGGCTGTACCAGACACCCTGTGAGTACCAGGTGCTCAGCACCTCCTCACCCAAGGCAGGGAGTTG